TAATTGGAGCTTAAACACAAAGTAAAGTAGGATAATTTTTTACAGCAGGGTAAATGTCTTTGTCTGAATGGATAAGTGAACAGGCTGTATCAGAATCACTTGTAGGGCTGGTGAAAACACAGATCTCTGGGCTCCCCTTCCAGATATTCTGATTCAGTATCCTGGCTCTGAGCCAAGAGTTTTCTTTTCTAACAAGCTCTCAGGCAGTATTTATGTTGTTTAGGGACCTCACTTTGAGTACCACAGATTGAATGAATTTATTTCCTGGCATTCTTACACTGATAGGTCGAGCTCGTAGGGCAATATTATAGAATACCATAGGATAATACCATTTTTTTATTAGAGTTTATTTCTTGTCATCTTTGAAGCTTGAGCTAAATAATAAAAAATTATTGTGTAATTGAGTTCATGTACCAACTTTCCTATTTTGCAATATTATTGGTTAACTATGACCCAATAAATTGAAGCCCCTTTAGTGAGCTAGTCCCCAGGATTAGAACCAGAGCGATTTCACTTTACAATAGAATAGAGAATCACTGACTCTGCAGCCTGTATACTTGGTCTACCCAGCAGATCAAGGCTGGCATAGGGCGGACCACTGGCCTTGAATGCTTGTTAGCGCACTGGTGTTTTCCCTTTATAGAAACAAGTGTTTCAGAAGCAGCTATAGTAAAAGAAAATGATCTCACAAACGTCTCAATGGCAGTTGCAGTAAAAATCACATAATCTCACAGTATCTATGGCATGTATTTTCAGATATCTGTGTCCTCTTATGCCCTGCGAGGCAGTTTTAAAAACACTTTATCCTGAAAGATTCAGTCCTTCAGTAACTATCCAAGAAATAAAGAGGTACTGTTGCAATTGACTCTTTCACTGAAGTGGGTCATTTTCTAGGGTCAGGCCAGCGAGGGCATCCATTGTGGCTGCTAGGGCTTTCTGCACCTCTGCTCTAATCTGCTCTTCCTTCTGCTTCTTCCCACCAGCCTCTGGAAGCATCGTTCTATGATGACGGAAGCCTCTTTGTCCCTTCTGTGACGGAGGAGGAGCGATGCTGACCTCGGCTTCCTGGACCCATTCTGACTCAGGTAATCCCACCGTACCTTCCCTTCCCCAGCCTCACGCGCCTTACCTAGATTATTACATTGAATAAATGAAATACCGAAGCTATATTTAAATGCAAATGCCAAATTGATTGCTTCTCCATCCATTGGCATCCTCCCTTCCTCCTCCCAATCTTAATGATCAGTTCATGCAGCTGATCAGACTGACAATGTGGTCAATCCAATTTAGACATTAAGATGATTGAAAACATTGAATCACATTTTTATTTAAAATTCTGGTGTGTGTCTTCGATGCACAAAGCAACCAGAACAGTGCTGGGAATTTTCCTACAGAAACTTATGCCTCTAAATTAGCTTCTTTCCCATAATATCATATTTTAATTGTATTAATCTTTCTAATGTTATGTCTTTTAGTTGTATTCAGTAAATCTTATTGAATATGTTATGTGCTCTTGGGATAGATGGGGGTCAAAAAAAAAAAAAAAAAAGATTTGTACCTGTCCGCAGGGAGCTCATGGTCTTGCCAAAGAGTCACAAGTACAACATGGTGATCACTGGGCCCAGGTTAGAGTGGGAATGGGCACCTTCTCCCTCTCTTCAGGGAAATGACAAACTTCCAGATTGGGACTAATATAGTTAGGGAAGAATTCATGGGCCAAGAAGGGTCTCAAGCGGCTTTGTCTCCACTGATCATGTGGCCAGGTAGAGGGAGGAGGATGGTGACATGGCCATGGTGAGGGCCTTGGTGGGAAGGTGGGAATGAGCCCTCTGTGAGCCAGGTGGCAAGGCCCTCGCTGCCTGAATCACAGTGTTTGGAGGACCGTGATCCTTGGTCTCAACCAGAGTCAGAGCCTGAGGGCCCAGGTCCCTTAAGGCTGGTGGAGTAGAGCACCCGAGAATCGCCACCTGCCCTGTTACAAAGGGGCCTTAGCTGGAGTGTCTTTCTGAGGACAGTGGCCACTGTTGCCAGCCCTGACTTGGCTGCTGCCTTGCTGGTCTTTTCAGCCTCTCTGGGCCCCTCCACACCCTAGCCCTGCCTTTCTACCTCGTACTTACTCTTCTCTGCACGGCTGCCTCCACCCCCTCCCAGCACTGCCTTACATTCCTGGCTTGACGAGGCCCAGGGACGCACCAGAGACTATGAGATCAGTACCTGGTGCTCGCAAGCTTTGATGGTGAGCTGGGAAGTACAGCTGCAGGGTAGGAAGCCAGCAACATGAGTTTGTTTGTAAGTTGATGAGGAAGACATCTCTAGTAAGTTTTGAAAGGCTGAATGTAGGAGAGTCTCAAGGCCAAATGTGGGGCCACAGTCAGGGATACGGAACCAGGTGCTCTGATTAATTTGGGAGTGGTGCGCTACATCCTGCCCATACCTGGTTCTTTTTCATTGTTGCTTTCTACCAAGCTGGTTAAAGCAGCAGTGCCTAAAGCAGGGTCTTAAGGGCATTAGCGCTGCCAGCTGAGGTGCTCACTTTTCTAGTGGGCTGGTGCCGTGGCCACTCTGTGCCTGCCTGAGTGTACTGGGCCCAAGAATGCAGTCCCTTTCTGACTGAGGAGCTCCGGCCTGCTGGAATCACAGCCCCAGTCACCAGCCAGAAGGAAGTGGAAGAACTAGAATAGCAATATTCGTGTTCCCTTCCCATGGAACTCATTGCCTAATGAGAGCTGTCCCACTTTTTCTAAGCCTTGGCTGGGGCTTAGCAAACTACACTAGGCCCACTGGCTGAGGGCAGCCCACTGCTTGTTGGTACATGACAGACAGGCTAAGAAGGATTCTGACATTTTTAAATGGTTGGAAAGTTCTAGAAGAAGTGTAACATTTTGTGCTTCACGAGAATTTGATGGAATTCAAATTTCAACATCTCTAAATAAAGTTTTATTGGAACACAGCTGTGTTCATTCACTTCTGGATTGTCAAAGGCAACTTGCGTACTACAGTGACAGAATTCAATAGCTGCAACAGAAACCATAAATTATTCATCAACTGGCCTCATACAGAAGTTTGCCGACCCCTGGCATAGGCAGTTCTGTGACATAAGCATTTGCAAACTTTAAGGTGTGAGACTTTTTCCCCATTAAAGAAATAGGATTGAAGGATGAATAGGATTCAAACAGGATCAAGAGGAAGGGATGGATTTCTTAGGCTGAGATAGTGAATTGATCACACTCTAGTTCCATTTTCCCATTTCTCTCTTTAATCTTCAATTAAATCAAGCTAAGTCATTGGGGCTATTGCATTTCAAGAACTCAGATACAGTATTTCTCCTAAAAGGAGCCATCCAGAAGTCTTGGATTATCCTAAATGTTGAAACAAATCAGCACCAAATTAAAAATGAACCTTGAATTATATAACTGTTTTTTCCCCGTGGTGCTGATGTGAGCTATTTTATTTCAAATCAAGTAAATACTTGGTTTTAAATCCAGTAAACATGAAGTCTTACTATGAGTAAGCTACGACATTTAATCTTGGTGTCTGTCTGCCAGCCTGCTAGGATTTTATATCCTATTGAATGAAAACTATGGTGAAAGTTAGAGATACGGGTTTAACGTTACTAATTGGCTGAGCTAGGTATGACTACAAAATACTTGGGTGAAAAGTAAATTCCAAATCTCAGGGCCTAGGTACAACAGAATAAACACATATTTAATTTCCTCTGGAATTAAGGAAATCATGAAAAAATATTTTTCTCAGTGATACAGATTTGACTTCATCTAAGCAAGTTTGAATTTGACCAGATTGACCATAGCCTACCAGACAGATTATAATAAGTACCTTGGAGTCTAATTTCTTTAGGACTTTCTCTTTTCCCATGCCTTAAACCTTGTGAAATCTCAGTGGTATCAACAGAGCATTTATGATGTTGTAAATAGCCTAAAGGAAGACGCTCAAACTTTATTGCACAAACAAATCACATGGGGAACCTTGCTAAGAGGCAGATTTTGATTCAGTAGGTCTGAATTGGAGCCTAAGATTCTGCATTGCTGACAAATTCCTGGGTCATGGATCTATAGCCAGGTATGATAATATACACTGTTGGTTCTAAATAGCGTTTAGCTAGGGCTTAAACTTCAGTGGTTCCAAAATATGGTAAGTGGACCAGCAGCATTAACTGAAAACTATGGCTGGGGATGTATGTTCTAATTTTACTACCTGGCTGAGCCAGGAAGGCTGTAGGATACAGTACCAGGATAAAAAGTACATCTCAAGGCTTAAGGGCTTAATTGAACAAGAGTTAATGCCCCACCACCCAGAGTTGGATTGTGTGGCTTCCTGGTTGGTGCAACATGTGAAAGAAGACTTGAGAACTTGCACCTATTTTTTTTTTTTTTTTTGGTACCAGGAATCAAACTCAGGACCTTGTGCTTGCCAGGCAGGCGCTGTGCCACTGAGCTATGTCCCTGGCCCCCTTGCACCTATTCTTAAATGTCATAGAGTAGAAAGGACTCAGGCTGCTTCCACATCCACAGTCCATTGACCAGAATGAGGAACATGACCGCATCTCCCACTGGGAAGTACTGGAGGGTGTATGGGTCCCTCTGCCCTGCAACACTGGATCACTGTACGAAAACCTGTGTTTATTCTGTGCCTTTGTTTGCTTATTGTCAAAGGATACTTAATCCAGTCCTACATTTTTCCAGAGTTTTTGAAAGAGTCAAATACCATGTCTGAAAACGCCTGAAAAGGTATGATAAGAGCCAGGTGCTGTAGTGCATTCCTGTAATCCCAGCAGTGTAGGAGGCCAAGGTAGGAGGATTGCAAATTTGATCCCAGCCTTGGCAACTTAGTGTCTTAGTGAGGTCCTATCTCAAAATAAAAAATACAAAAGGGCTGGGAGGGCTGGGGATTTAGCTCAGCGGCAAAGCGCCTGCCTGGCAAGCGCAAGGTCGTGAGTTCGGTTCCCGGTACCGGAGAAAAACCAAAAAAAAAAACCAAAAAAACAAAAGGGCTGGGAGAGTTGCTCAGTGTGAAGGTCCTGGGTTCAGTCCCCAGTACTGACCCCTCCCCTCAAAAAAAGAGTAACAGAGAAGCAGAAAGCTTTGCACTGCTGACATTCACACAGCTAGTGAGTGGCTTTGATTTGAACCCAGGCCCGTACGACTCCATGCTTTCAAGTAGTCCATGGGACTGCGTGCTCACCCTTTCAGGGATTGCACCCCTGGCCACATGGCACCCCACTTCTCTGACAGTGGCCTGAGAATCTGTTCTCAGGCCACATACAGCTAGGAAGAGGCACCCCTGTGTGGTAGGTCCAGCTCTTCCTGACACCAATGAGAAAATCAGGTGTTGGGTCCCTGGGTAATTCTACAGGGCCATGATAGCAGGACCGGGGCAGACTTCCCATTCTGTCCTTTCCCACCACTCCCCACCCTGACACTGACAAGTGCAGCTTGTTTTAAAACTGGACATTGCATTTTTTGGATTTTTTTTTTGTTGTTGTTTTGGTTTTCTTTTTGGTACTGGGAATCGAACTCACAACTTTACGCTTGTCAGGCAGGTGCTTGGGCCACTGAGCTATATCCCCAGCCCCCGGACATTGCATTTTATATACAAGGGGGAGTGTGTTATTTTGAAATATGGGGCAGAGTAAAACTCAAACCATCGAAGATTTGCCGGGTGCTGTTATGTTAATCCAGTCGCCGTCCCAACCCAAACAGGGAGGAGAAACAAAGTTCAGGGGGTTATTTACAAACCTATTTTCTTTTTTAATAGAGCCCAGCCACAATCAAAGACCGGTTAGCTTGCAGAATAATAGCAAACAAAAAGTCATCTGCTCAAAGGACCGGCTGTATATTGTCATTTCCCTGGTTCCCTGCTTTCCTAATCAGTCTTCAAACCCAAACCCATGAAATCAAAGGCAGCAGTTGCTGAAAAATGAGACCCACACGACAGTCATCTAGTTCATGGCTTACTTCAAGAAACCCCCCAGAAAATTATACACGCGGTTTCGAAATGTACAAAGAAAACTAAAGGAATTCCATTATGAGAGAAAAATTAGATGGAAATTTCTAATCCTGTCTCATAA